ACCTATCACAGGAAAGGTGTCTTCTATGTTCTTGCCAAGTCTAATGTAGGTTGAACAGGTCCTTTTTCTCTACATCCTTATAACCTACTCTTAAATAATGCTTGCCACAACTCTTTACAATCAATGCAAGTCTGAGGAATGCATAAAGTAAATGGGTTTTGGCTAAGTCACTCTGTGGCCACAAACACAAATGAATTTACTTATAAATCCTAAATAGGATATATTATCATTTATATTATGGATAATCTTAAATTTCACTTTGATTAATAGTAGACAACAGTGACTGCCTGTAGTTTAAAGTTATTCTTACCTTTCAGATATCATATAAATATTCACATTCTCTTAAAAATTGTTAACATCGATTAAATTATTCTTTTAGGATTTTTTCTTCACTAACATGAATAGGGATGCAGTTTAATAATTTTGCTTGTATGGATTTACAATTTTTAAAAGCAATCGCAATACTTCTGTCCTTGTACTTCTGTTCAAACAGGGATTAAACACTAGGTGCATTTTTCTGTCACTGGCTGTCATTTAGAAAAACATGGCCATCAACTTGTATAAGAAAATGTGGTAGATACAGAATAAGTATGCAGGTGTGTTTCTGGAAGTAGCTCTACGAACCAATTGACCAGGTAGACTCACCCAACAGAGCAGCCATCGACAGGAGAAAACAGAAGTGTGAAATTACATGGCAGTCCCCACTTCCAGGTCCAGGGTCTTGCCTTCAATTTGTGACTGTCTCTCCTCCAAACAGGACACTTTAAAGTCCAGTCTGTCTTTTCAAGGTCACCCCCTGTCCGTGATTCATAGTTCTTCTCTCCAAACCACCAGCGCTCCATCACTCTGAGTAGAGCAGTGTCAGGCCCTGCCTCACAGAACTCACTCCACAAAGGTTTGTCTTCAAGGGGATACAACATGCTGGCTCCCTGTTCTACTTCGGAGGTTGTATTCGAACAACCTGTGTACATTAGGTGATGAGAGAGGAAACATGTCTGGCTATGCCCCCTAAAGAGCTTGTTTACCAAATGCTCACAAGTGACTAACACAGCAACTTCTACATTTGAAAGCATTTACATCTATTATTCTGTGTAAGGGCCAATGAATTAATTATATCTAGTATTAGAATTAAATGAGAGATCAGAAAGCTGAGATTGAAAAAATCAATGAACCTACCAAAGATTATCTAATCAGGCAGAGCAGAAGGAAGGCTGAGTTCCTACCTCCTGACCCCCCAGGCTAGTTTCCATTCTGCATATTTTGTTAGCAGGTCAGCCCTGTAGGTAGCAAAGTGCTGAAAAATCTCAGGGTTTAAATCTCATTTAAAATCTAAGGACTTTAAATGTCACTTATGCTGACCATATAACCTAGGGACCTTAAGTGTCAACGAGGCTAATGGCATCATGTTGGGTGGCTTCAAGTATTGTCCTGCCAGGTGATCAGTCAGCCACATGTTCTATCAGTTCAAAAATCTATTATTCATGGAAAAACAGCTTAAGCAGCACACCTGGATAAGGAATTGCTTCTGTCTGGCAAGTAGATCCAGTTGGCTGGGTTTTACATCTTCTTTTCCACTTTTGTTTTCATCTCAGAACTCTAATACCTCTAACTACTAATAAACTCATGAATCTTCAAATCCAATTCCCTAATTCCTTCCCCATTCATTGTGTTTATATCTGTGGCATCCATGCACACATAGGCATACACACACACAACCTGAATCTCTGTTTCCTCTGCTACCTTCCAAAGCTCTACTTCCAAAAAATCACTTATCAATGTTTCAACAATCCCTGTTCGCTCTTACTCCAGAGAGGATCTTCATACCCTTCATATTCCTAGCTTTATCTTCTTTATCTTCTCTTCTAAATCCTTTTCACAGTGCAGCAAATGACAGCCCTGTGGCAGCCGCAAGCTAACCTTAATATGGCACAATCCACACACTGAGATATGTTGACAAGGTGAAGTTAAGAGTCCTCCTCATGCTTTCTTCTTCCACTGTGGCTGTGGAATTATGAAGTGGAATCTAGAAGAACATGAATTAGGATCAAGTTTCTAAAACAACTAACCTAGAAGCTGAAGTTGTTTTTGTTCCATCAGCTCTAATAGGCATTTCAAAAATTCTAGTAAATATGCACCGTGTGGAGAAGGCAGCTCCATCTGCAACTCATTCTTCAGGAACTCCAGTTAAAACTTGATTACAGTGCATCCTGAGTAGGAGGAAAGGCAATGATTCACAGACACCAATTGCTCACCATCATCAGATGGAGTAGTTAGAAGCAATAAGCTGTGCTTCAATTATTCCTTCCCAGAAGTCACTACAGTTCAAGAGCCTGCTATTCATGGAGAGGCAGCTTACGTAATGCACCTGAGTAGGGTTGGTTGCATTTTTTCTTTTATGTGTTCTTTTTTCCCCCATTTGTTTTCATTATAGAAGCAAGTTCCAGTCAGCCTGGTTGAGTAGGCAAAGTAATGCCAGACATGCACAGAGCAACCATAGCTTCAGGTGAAGTCCTTCAAGAATTGCTTCTAGAGTGGGATGAAGGCAGCAGATAAGATGGAAGGCAACCCTGACTCTTCACCTGCTAAAGGTGCTTGGTAGTGCAAGTATTCTGGCTATTCTTTGCTGATGCTTCTTGATCCTTATCCTGTACTTTCAGTTAGTCAATTTGTACTTGAGGTCAAGCTTCACCCATAATCTAGGTTTGGGAACCAGATCCTTGATTTGTTTATTATACTTGATTTCCAGCCCAGTACTTTTCTTAAAAGAAGATTCCCTGCTGCTCTCTCAATAGCCTTTTCTGTCCCAGAGCCCAGGTCTGCAACCAGGGCCTTGCTACCACTTGCCAGGCTTCTCTGCCAAAATCTTGATTGAGTCTCTGCATGTTCTCTGCACCCAGACTCTTCAGTGCTGGGTTCCAGCCTCTTACCAGGTCCCCAAACCCTTACTTTGTGCCAAATCCCCTAATGCCTTCCTCTGCTTCTACTTGGACCTAATGACTCATTCCTCTAGCAAGATACATTATTTTCTCTGCTCCCTGCCAGCAACGGGGTTGATAGCAACCTAAGACTAGGGACTAAGTCAGCTTTCCTGCCCCCCAATTCTGTCTGGTGTTGCCATTTTCTAAGATCCTTTGTGCTGAAAGCAACCTTCAGAACAAATGCATAAGGAGAATATATAGAAGGGTGACGTGCAGCCTAGAAACCCAGAACTAATTGAGAAATAGAGCTGCTGGCACAGGCAATCAGAATCTCCTTCCTCCCAATCCAAACCACTGCTCCTAGTACTATTTACTCCCCACTTCCTTCTCACCACCTTCTTGCTAAACAGCAACCTGAGACCTGTCACAGTAAGACATGGACCAGCTTCATGGACAGCCATAATAATCACTGACTAAAGGTTGCAGTTTAGGCACTTTTAATTTTTTTCCATTGGGCTACACCAATGGCAACTAGCACATTACCCTTGCTATATTTACTAGCTCTAAGGATATCTGAATTCAGAAATGCAAACTAGTACTTTTAACCAGTTTCGAGGATGTATTTAAATTCACAAAGAACTATTTTTTACTATAAAGTGGTTAATTTTTTTCCTGAAATAATCCCTCTCCAATTTGTTAATTGATGTGATAAACAAAGATACAGTCCCTCCTCTTCCATCACTAGCTCCAAAATTAAATTTAACAGCTATACCCTGCTTAGGCAGAGAGAACAAATGAGCTAGTTACTCATTCATGGAAAACAGGTAAAAACTTCCCTGTGACTGTTTCTTTGAAGTGTCTATTTTAAGAGGTTTGATGGGGAGTAGGTTACAAGGTGAACACATCGAACCTTTAAGAGTGCAAGAATTGAGAATTTCAACGAGTGACTGCCTATCAAATGCCATACTTAAGAGTGTGCCCCAAATAAGCTGGGCCTGTCTCCAGATTTCATGTGTTTTGCAACCCTGTCCTATGTTTGAATGTCACAGCCACCTTTGCAAAAACAATATTCTCTAGTTAAATTAAGTAGAAAAATACAGTGAAAAGAATCTTTTCTATTCTCTAGGTAAAAGATGACATTTTCCTTAAGAAAAACACTGATGAGGATAAAAGCCAAGTATTGTTTTAGATTCCTTCCAATTTCCAAAATACCATTTAAAAAATAATTACACCCACGATTTATACACGATTCATTAGACAGCAAGATAAAATGCTCTGCTAAAGTTTAATTGCATTGAAGTAGACATCATGGAATACACCCCCCACTTCTACAGACCTGAACCTAGTCTAGTAAAGTCTTTTGCCCAGCTAGTCTATTTGATTAAAGTATAACCATATTGTAGTTTCTTGATTTGACAGAATTCTAAAGAATGTTTTTTGCTAAGTCATTAGAAGGTCAAATGGTCTGTTATCAATTTTAAAGCTTTTTATTATGAAAGCTAGTAGGCTTGATACCATAGGAAGATGACAGGAACTCTATCTCCGAAAAAAAAGAAAAAATCAGTTACTTGCAAACAAAAGTGGTTATAATGCATGCAGTCCCCCCCCCTGCCCCACTTCCACCCAGATATGAACCAGGTGATACTTTGCATTATGCAGGCATCAGTTGAGAAGCTACCCAAAATCCACAACACACATCCTATTATCCATACAAATTACAGACAAATGAGAGAAGAGCAGTAAGTGTTCTTTACATAGTAGATATAATATCTTGCATAATATGTAATAAATATGACAGACATCTGGCAGATGTAACCAGCCTTTTAGATTCTACAAGCTGCTGAATTACTAATCTGAAGGAATGAGGTTGAAAGAAAGAGCACCTGCACCAGATTTGAGGGTTTTATGACAGGAAGGTCTGCTGGTCTACCTGTCCAGCCCTTTAGGTTGGAGGACATTCACCATTAGAGTCCCATTCAGGCAGCTGTCTCTGAAGAGGGAGCATGATTAGTAGAATCGGCATGAGACTGGAAGCAGGCATGGATCTGAGTGTTTCCCAGATACTATTGTTCACACACATACCTGCAGTCTTTAATGGGGTTTTCTCTCCTAGCAACAGTTTTAACCTTTTGGCATGGATTTTGCCTTGATAATGTGAATCAGCCACCACGGCAGAGGTAAAAGACATGTTACATAGTGTGCAACACTTGTTCTTATCCACCATATCAGCATCATTGCCCTGAAAAGAAGAAAAAAAAAAAGTGTTAGAGAGAACTGAAGTCTTAAATTTCTCTTTCCCCATTCCATTCTGCTGCACATGAGATTTATCACAGAGTTTCTGATTGAAATTTCTAGCTTTTGCTCTGAAACCTCATTTTTCTTCATGATGATGATCATCAAAAGTTACTCAGTGACTGACTCCTATCACCGTCCAGCACAGGCACTATAGGACAATATAAGACATGAGCTACCGAAAGAAAAATGGGCCTCACAATTAGGCGAGGGCATATGTGTCTGGCATCATGGGGAGAGCAGACTCTAATTGCTTCATTATACTCATTAAAGTAAGTAAAAATATCAGAGTTCAAGTGTCTGAATTATTCAACAGAAATTATCATTTGGCATCCAACTCTGCCTTTCAGCCTCACCAGGATACATAACTACATAACCACATGGTCAAGGTTTTTGTTGTTGTTGTTGTTCCTTTGTCTTTTGTTTTTGTTTTTGTAATATTTCTTTAAAAAATACTTCATAATTAAATTGGGTATGTCATAAAGCTATGATAGCCATACTGGCTGAATTTTTTAGAAGACTATGAGTAATTTTCCTTTTCTTTAGGAAAGGTGATTTGTTACATGCCACACAAAAGACTGAAATCCAGCTTGATTTTTATTCCTTTGAAAGACTTAATGAAGTAAGTCATGATTCAGAAAAAATAAATATTTTGTCAGTACATATAACCTCACTATTGCCCACACAGATCATCAATGACCCATATTATGCAAAGGGAAGCTTAATCTATTGACTCTCCTCCTGCCTAGTTAGAAATAGAGGGTAAAACAGAGTCTCAGATAGAGTTAATCTATTCCTTAATGGAACTCCAACAGTAAAGTACCTGGGTTTAAGAGCAGTCTTGAAAGAGTATCTGGCTCCACAAGAGTACCCCTCTTTTAACTAGCTAGCCATGGCGCCCTTAAAAATGGGATAGGGGCCCTCCCTGGTGGGAGGTGGTGGCAGCAGGTTAAAGCACAGCACTAAGAAGCTAAAGCCACTTCCACATGACTTCGATCCCTGCCTGCCCTGGAAGTGATCCACATGGCACAGCAGACCTCTCCTGACCTGCCTGCTGCTCCCTTCAGCAGTGTACTTTGATGATCTATCTGTTCTGTTCCCCACTCTGTCTCTGGTGAAGCCTCTCACCAACCCTGCACCTCTGGCCTGTACCCCAGTTCTGTATGCACAAATAAATCTTTTTTAAAAAATGAGATAGGGAGGAGGGTAAGGGTGAGGATGGGAGGGAGAAAGGGAGCTATATATCTTCCTACATAATAAGATATCCAGACTTCTGGAGAGAGTGCTGCTTTACAAATGTTGCAGTTAGAAAACCAACTCCTTCCTCTTTAAGTCATTAGTGTGTAGTATCTCTGATAATGATTATTGTTCCTTGGGAGGGTTGGAGAGATAGCAGGGCATGGGGTGGGGGGTGGGGTTAAATAATGAATGAAAGAACCCTTTTGTATGTTCTAAAAGGCTAATCCAGGGATTGGGAAAAGAGAGATACCTCAAAAGAGACTGTGTGATTTGGAGTTACAGTCTCACCTACTGTCTTTTATTATTATTATTATTATTATTATTATTATTAAATGTATTTATTTATGCCTACAGAACTGGGATACAGGCCAGAGGTGTGGGCCGTGGGAGGATTCAGAGTGTGGAGCAGAACAGGCAGATTGACGAATTATACTGCTGAGGGGAGCAGCAGGTGAGACAGGAGAGGTCTGCCGCACCATGTGGATCAGACCTCTGGGTTCAAGGATCAAACTCACATTGAAGCGGCTGCGGCTAGCTTGCAATGCTGTGTCCTAACCCATTGCACCACCAGGAAGGGCCATATTTAATATTCTAAGGTCAAAATAATACAAGGTGGATCCTCCCTGGTGGCGCAACGGATTAGGATGCAGCACTGCAAGCTAGCGGCATCCGCTTCAGTGCGAGTTCAATCCCCAGATCCGGAGGTAATCCACTTGGTGCCGCAGACCTCTCCTGACTCACCCAATGCTCCCCTCAGCAGTGTACTTCATTACTCTGCCTGTTCTGCTCCCAACTCTGTCTCTGGTGAATCCCCTCACCACTCCTGTGCTGCTGGCCTGTACCCCAGTTCTGTATGCAAAAATAATTTTTTTTAAAGTATGAAAAGTTTCCCCTCTTTATATTATAGTTAATAATTGAGATTAATGAGCGCCATGGTTGGGGAGAACAATACAAAGTTTGGGTTCAATGGAGTGAGATGAGACTCACCCAAAGGGAAAGAAAGCCCCCAAAAAGGGCTTCCTGGAGAGAGAAAACTTCAGGTAAAACACCTGGGTAGATACTGAGACTGTGTCTACTGGAGTGTACCCTGCTGAGAGTTAAAGAGCAGGTGTTTTGAGCTTTCTTCTCAATAAAACAGACAAAAAAGGCATAAACATTTTTACACCTTGGTGTGATTTACTGTGGAGAGTACTGGGACCAAGAAATAAAGAAGAGAGCTGACTTCCCCTACCCTACCTCTCCAACTAAGCCTAGGATATGCCACTGAATCCCCTGAAGGGACAGAGCACAGAAACATCAGAAAATGTTACTGATGGCCCCACACCCAGAAATTAGAAAAGGATAGCTCAGGAGCAAAGAAAGACCCAAAATGTTACTTTCTCACTATACAATACAGTATATTTATCCTAGAGAAAGAAAATATTGTAGATGCTCAAATCGTTCATTTTACCTACTATACAAGATATAGGACAAATTTTTTGCCCCTAAAATTAGGCACATGATCATAAGCCAAAGCTTAATCCACAGTTTATACACTTTAGAAGTCTGTGTGTCTACCTCCCTGAGTCACTTCCTAAAAAGGGATCAGCCAATTCTGGTCACAGGAACCGATCTCTACTCCCTGGAAATCTATCTTGTAGATAGATCTAAGGAAAAAAATAGAAACTCAGATACAGGGGCTGTGATCATTATAGGAATTACACTCAGAATTAGATATCAGGACAAAGAATTGCCCTTAAACTGGATAATAAGTGGACTTATGGTAAGAATTCGATAGTTCAGCAATTTTTAAGTGTCAAATATAGTAGACGAAAATGACTCTGTTCCCTGTTACCAACAACATCAGGAGAAATTGAGAAAGGAAGAAAGTAAAAGGAAAATATTATAATCAAGGAAATACAGTCCTGTATTGGACTCAGATGCTCCTAATTGTGAATTTCCTGGCTAATCCTCTACCTCCCCCTACACCTCAGGCTTCTACATTAGTTCTGTATGCATAAATAAATAAGTCTTTTATTTATTTATTTTTTTAGAAAATCATGTAAACTAAGTGTGTGGATCTTCAAGTCTTTCACACGCCTGGAATGCTTTCCTTACCACTTCTAGATTTAGTTCAATATTTGCTTATATTTAGTTTATAATTGAACATGGAATTACTACATTTATTTGTTTTCATATCTGATCCCTTCATGAGACTACAAAACTCCTTTCAGATCAAGGAGATTGAAGCCTCAGGATTAGCACAATACTACCACATAAGTGGACCTTCAAGTGTTTACTGAGTGAGTGGAGCTGAGAATTGGTTTGTGAGGTTAATAAATTTCATAATGTAAGAGTCAAAGAGGAAAAGAGTTCTAGTTACAAGCCAAAATCTTTCATATCTTATAGAAAAATGTCCAGTTAAAGAACCCAAGGTATCAATAATTTACAAACTTGAGGGTTTAAATACAACATGTTTGCAATATTTAGTTTTCATAATGGCATATTGATATATATTCCTAGATGTCTATTCCGGATAAAGTCAACACATCACCATACAGAAAAATCTAAATATAATATGACAACTAATTGCTATTCAAGGTGATTATCATACCTGTAGTTATGCCATAGGTAAAGAGGAGGGACTGAGGAAGTACAGGGATTTGGTGATGGAGGGTATGTGTTAGGTATCCTCTGAGTATGGAAGGACATGTTCATGGGATATTTCACTAAAGAAGTCACTGTAACATGATGCAATCATACTAATCAACTTGGTGCAGATAAAACTATCCACAAAAAAAATCTCACTATAACCAAATGCCTGCAAAGTGTGGGAATGTAAATTTGTATTCTTGGCTATCTGAATCCCAAATTAATGGCTCCTAGCAACTACAGATCATATCCTCTTTATTGTGTCTCCCACTACACCCAGAGCAATGAATGACCCAGGATAGACACTCCATAAAGTTTGATGAACTGACTTCAATAAATACATTTAAATTTTCTGGTTTAAAGAGTTGAGAATAGCCCCCAAGCTAGAAAGTAAATGAAGGAGAAACCTAAGATTATCTTAAAATATGAGTTTAAACTGGAGATATAACTTCAACGACACTTCATCAGTGTAATTGCTACAGAATGTGTCAGTGCAAAAAGAGAGGGAAAGTCACTGAGGCTATGGAAAGGAGCACCATTTTCCCCACCCTCACTTCTATATTGCCGACATCTCCAAGATCTTGGGTTGTAATTTCCAGCACGCCATGAACTGGAATTCCTAAAAGAGGGACAGCTGGGAAGGATGAATGAGCAATACAAATACATATATTTAAGGTAGAATGAGGAAGAAGGAGAGACATGTGAAGAAGCCATTTCTGTAATCTTAGCGTTACTATAGGCAGGAAAGAAGGTGGCAAATATATTAAATTCATAATGGATTATATGATACTTGGTGAATGTTGGATCTTGTATTTTGTCCCAGCTCTTTTTAACCTAACTAGCCCTTGTATCATGGCCCCTCACTGGGAGATGTCTTGGAATTCTGGCAAGCCTTTGGGCCTCAGCCACCCTACTGTGGGTCCAGCCTGTTTGTTTGGGAGTTTGCCCATGAGGTAGATGGGGAAAACTTGGAAGTTTAAGGAAAGTCTGTCATTTGAAACCCTTTTCTCTTTCTCTTTCTCTTTCTCTTTCTTTCTCTTTCTCTTTCTCTTTCTCCCCCTCCCCCTCTCCCTCTCC